GGCAACATGGTTACCGTGGATTTCAAGTTACTGTGCAGCTTGTATTTATCAACAAAACATTACAGTAAGATTGTTTTCACTTCTGACATATGAAGATGGTAATTCAGCTGCAATGAAACATGTGAAACATATCAGTTGTGTAAACAAACTTGTAGAGGCAATTCATTATATTACTCAAAATAAACAGCAATGTCAGACTATAGAGTATGATATACAATTTATTTGCTGCTCTTGTGAAATTAGTGAAAAAGAAGGGAAAAATATGGTGAGAAAACACAGAAAAAAACATGTAACTGACGGCATGGAACCTGTTGCCAAAAAAAGGTTTGTAGAATAGATTCAAAAGAGGTATTCAACAATGGATCCTACAAAAAAGAAATAATTATCTCGCAAACGCAGACAAAATCACCAATCTTTAGATGGTACAGAGAAGAAAAAATTACTTCACAAACGCAAAGAAAAATTCCAATTCATGGATGCGACAAAGAAGAAAGAATTATTTCAGAAACGCACAGAAAAATACGAATCAATGGATACAGAAGCTAAAAGAGATATATTGAATAAAGAAAAAGAAAAGAGAGAATCAAAGTCAAAGCCACATCTATTGAATCACGTATCAAACAGTTTAAGAGGAAAATAAGAGAAGGCCCTTATTTCATATGTATTGTCTGTAATCGAATACTTAATAAAAATCAGTAATGAGGCGTATAAGCAACAAGTACCCCTGCCAAACATTTTTCAATATTCAACAATCATTTGATGGTAAAGAATATATATGCAAGACATGTCATTCAAAAGTCATAAAAGGAGAATTACCATGTCAGGCTGTTGTGAATAATATGTATGTTGATGAAACATCCACACAACTGGCTTAACTAGAAAAACTAGAACTAGTACTAATTGATTCACAATTTTCGATCCTCTAGAGCTTGCTAGTTTTTCTTTCTGCTTCTTTTTATTGCTTTTTTTTACGTAAAGTTCCTAAAATTGGAACTTCACGTACTTTTTATAGCGATAAAACATGGTTTAAAGGCTGAGCAAAGAACAAAACATGACACATTTAGGTTGCTAGTTTGCTTTTTTTTCTCACACGGCTTCATGCTAAACAAACAGGTACCGGCTTGTGATCACTGCAATATTAAAGATTCCAGAATGCCTACAGAGTGAGCATTATTTCTTATATTGGTATACTGATATGATCAATTTCAGTACGACCGCACAAATCACTATTCACCGGATAAGCACTATCAACATCAATTGAGTTATCCACTTCAGTGTGGTTTATCCAATGCATAGCACTATCTACCCTTCAAGAAAACGGGCCTGATTGACAAAAATTCCGTTGCAAGGAAAATCGCCTAAGAAAGCTCGAGTTAACGCCTTTAAAGCGTCTAGTTGACTGAAAGTCTAACTTTTGGAAGATGAAGTGTAAATCTTTTTGATCTGCAAAGGTTTTTTCGGGAATGATTTAGCGCGATTTAATCTTATTTGCCGAAAATGTACACAAATACAGGCAAACTCAAATGTTTGGCATTTTACGTCCAATCTATTGCATATTTAACATAATATCCTCTTACCTTCCATGTTGCTGTTTTGAATAAGAAGGCTACAGTCCTGAAATTGTTACATCGTTCACATAGAAGCAAAACAACTTTGCAGGATAGTCAACGCCATCCAAAGCCTATTTCGGGGGATTTGATTTGAGGTTTCTCTACTCCCATTTCGTTGAAAAGGAGGCTGTAATTACTTCACGTAAGAGAACTTTGCTTAAATATTAGTAATCAACCAAACTGCGCACCAAATGTAAGCGGAATGTTGCTAGTTGAGAAACATGTTTCAAGTGTGCGTGCGGAATAATGCTATTTAATTCAAAATAGGGTTTACTGAAAGCGACAACTCCGCAAAAATAGTACATTGGACCGTGAAACACGTGACTTCGGGAAATTAGGTCGGTATTTAAATATACGAAACAGTAGCAAACAATTATCTAACCTCGATCCTTATAAAATGTATCATGATTAAATAAATCATGGTATTTTTTGAACTATTGTTCTCGGTGGATAAAGCAAAAGACCTGCAAAGGGCATAACCCAACACTGCAGATGCATGTACAATAGAGCAAAGTGCAGTGTTTGAATATTTGTTTATTAAAAAGAAGCTGTTTTAAGGGTCAAAACCACAACTTTCATTGAAATGGTTGTACTAACCAACGCTCAACGGATTTATATTTATACTACTTCTTCCCCAGAGGCTACCATGCCTCGTGAAGTTACTCTTGCCGGTAGTAAGACTACAACTTAGGTGGCACGTTCTTATATTTACATTTGTCTTTTCCCGGAAGTAATTCAAAAAGGCTTACGTTTGTTTATAAAACCATCTATACGTATCTCGAAACTCAAGAAACGCCTAAAGTAATCATTGCACTAGCTGAGACAGCAGCCCCGAGTGCGGCTCAGTATACCTCACATTCGGGACGTAATGTAAAACTACATGTCTCCCGTAAGTTAATTGTGCTGATACTGTATACTTTAAACAGTGGCGTTTGAAAGAATCATCCCTGCTAGCAAGATATTTTGCACTCTAAGCAGTGATCTCTCCCCCTCAAATATAGTCGGGTCTAAAACCATCAGAGAATTAGAGCGGAGCTGGCAGTGCGCGCAGCGTAGCCCCATAATTATACGACATAGTAGCAACCCATCACGCCGAAAAGATTTGGACCTATGACCGTAGGGGTGTCCGTACAAGATGCTACTTTTAGCATGCACAGCCAGCTGTTCTGTGGGAACTATCTTAGCCATTACGTAGTGGAAGAGCGAGGAAGAAGGTAATGCACAGACGCGATTGCTTGCGTAACTTGGATACCCCATTAGTGTGCGCCAGGAGACACCGGTTCCAGACCTTGTCAATTCTTCCCTCCATCCCCACCCCCCGAGCTGGTCTCTAAATCCCCTTGAAGAAACTCTTCTACAGCCAGCGCTGAAGAGTTTTATTACAGTTTTTATTCAGTATAAAGAAGGGCTGGAAAATAAACTAACAGGAGCTCCGCTTTTAGGCTTAGCTAAATCTAAATGTTATGGCAATGTATTATAGAGCGTAGATGATGTGTAATGACGAATTTAAGATATAAGCCTGTTGACTGGTCTGACCAGAATTTTCACGCCCACTTCTAAAGGATTAGCATTTAGATTTTACCAGAAAAAAGAAAGTAAACAAACCCATGTTGTGCTTATCTTCTTAATCTTTCCTTCCAAGTTCAGAAATTTAAGAAGTAACTAACTACTTCGTATAGACGGCTTTAAAGGAAACACTTACTTGTTCAGCTTTAGCGGATCACCAAGGTACGTCAGTAATTCGTAAGATTGCAGACAGGGAGGGAATCCTTACGCATGCAACGAATGCAAGGTTTGCACTGGGCATTTAGTCAATGCTTTTACAACTGCACTTGTCAACTAATTCTTAAATATCTATATATATATAGCTCAAGCACCGTACAAATCTCCCGCGGCATCTCTTCGGAAAACTTCGACAGCTTGGAGTGGCACACAGTTTCACAGATGTTGTATTTGTTAAAGATGATTGAATGCTGAAGAAGAGCAAAAGTCTTCATTACTTCCTTAGTAAGCTCTTCCATGTCTTTATTTCTGTTTGCCTCATATTTTTCAACATCTTCACCGCGAGAGCTGAAACCTTTTTTTCGTTGTTAAGCGAGAAAAAAGTCCTGCTATCTACTGAGGTGTGAGGAAGTCGTCATTTTCAGAGATACTTGAGCCATCGTTGAGCTTAGCTCTTCGCATTGCCTTCGAAATTAAAGAAGGATCAGCCGTTTTCCCGGTGCGTTCTACCTCTTAAAATACTTCAGTAAGATAGTTTTTCTGAGCATGGTAAGGTTCTTTCTTGTTACTATCTCTGACTTCAGAGCCCATCCCATCAGTAGCGCTGGACCTTCATCCTCTAACGATATATGTATATATATATATATATATATATATATACACTTTCATTCACAGTTTCAGGAACGGTACTACCGCCATGCTTCAGTTGTGCCGCGTCATGTCCTGGTCGTACAGCTTTTCTTTTTCCAAGGCATACTTGTTTTTGTCACAGCCCAGATGTTTTTCTAAGGAAGAGAAATGCTGGAAGGACTTGATGCACATCCTTTTTCACAGGTTTCATCGTCACTGTCTCTCTCCTGTGGGTTTTTTTTTGCGCTTGGTCTAGCTTTAACGGTTTGAAAAGAAACGTTAGAAATCGCATTATCGGTATTCTTGTTTAACTGAGGACGAGGACTACTGCTTTGTTGACAGAGACTAAGCTGAACTACCCTAGGGTGAAAATTTACCGGAACCAACTCCATACGCTCTCCACACCAGCAATCCGTCGTTGGTGTATGCAACGTTATAAATAAAGCTAATACTCCTTCCCACTTCAGTGGCGTTGACTTTACAGTACGTACGTTGCGGACCGCTCACGGTCACGCTGACTCCAGCCATTGTGCCAGATGACTCATGGCTGTCACCATTTGCGATGCTATCACGGTGTCATGGCCAGCATTGAGATATATTCTCATTCGACTTTTTATTGTGGCGGCCTTACAGGTACATGACCTTTTTCCACCTTAAGGGTCTGAAAACTTAACGCGCTTCGGGTTGATTCCATGCTTAGTCAAGTGCTTCTATAGATACTCCGTCAGGCGTGAGCGGCTACGCTAAACCACCCTCTCAATAGGCCGTTTTCGATATATCAAATTCTAACATCGCTCCGAGGCTTAGGGGAAAAAAACAAAATAAATAAATTATTCATCCATCAACTTCGATGTGATTTCCTTTGTTTTATTCCCCGAAGCCTCGGCGCCAAGTTTGAATTTTAATATATAAAAAATTACCTATTTTCATTTGATAATTTTGCATGTCGTTGATTTAAAAATAACGTACGACCAAAGAAAAGCAAGAGAGCCGGAAGGTTCAAAACTTATTAAGAGTTTAATACAGTTTTTGTAGCAGGCAGTGGTTTTAATCACCGAACTAAGTTGATATTTTTCTCTTTTTATCCTAAACTGAGCTTTACCCACCTAAACAATAGATATTGAAAAAACAAACAAACCAACAAACAAAAATATACTCAACAAGGATTGGGGTTAGATAATTATTTGCTCCTGTTTCGTATAATTAAATCTCAACCTAAGTTCTCGAAGCTACGTGTTTCACAGTCAAACGTTCCATTTTCAAGTTGTCCCTTTCAGTAGACCTCATTTTGAATTAATGTTAGCATTATTCTGCGCGTACACCAGAAACATGTTTCGAACTAGCAACATTCCGCTTACATTTGGTTCGCGGTTCGGTTGAATACTAATATTTAAGCGAAGCTCTCCTACGTGAAAAATTAAATACAAAGACGGTTATAAAGGACAAAAAGCAAGAATCAGTATTACAACAAAAACAAGTGGTAGCCATATTCATTCCAATGGTATTGTTGAAATAGAAAATACTTATAATAAATGGGTTCCATTAGATATTATACATGTTGTAAGATTACAATCGGATATTTCATGATTGTTTTGGTTATTCTGTCAGAGGATTAGGCATGACTAATACATTTGAATTTTTCCATGAGTACAGTCAATAAATTCACAGATGATCATAATTGCACAGTTGTTTCATTTGCTGATAAAGATTTTCACAACATCAAGAAAAAAAATTGGGAAGTAAACCTACATCTACATCTACATTCTGACGAACAATATTACTCATCATGTGTTGGTATTGATATTGCTTCATTAAAAAAAATGAATATAGTGTGGTTTTTTTAATTGTTTTGGGACAGTTCTGATATTGACTATAAATCTGTTGAGACTTGTTTCAAGTCACAATAACACCATTGAAAGATACGTACTAAACAGATTTGACAATCATATCAGAACCATAGCACATGTTATAAAAGAAAGCTCTGAATCATCTGACTATCTCATGTTTGTTATTGATATGAGAAATAAAATTGATATCACAGGACTTGTTGGTTTATGTTGTTATGGTTTCAAGGGTCGTTGTAATGATATTTCAACCAGTATTTCGGATGTAGTGTATTCAATTGATAACAAGACAGTCAAATTTGATGAAAAGTTGAGATGGGAGGAGAACTAATCGTGAAACATGCCTTCAATGATCAAAATTCAGTCACAAAAAAAAAGTATTTGATGATACAACAAAAAAATTTTTTTACAGAAGTAAGGTGGCCCATAATAATGCAAATGATATGAAGTTCTATGTTAATGGAACAATAAATCATAGCATTAATGGGACACAGTCAGATGAAAGTCATTTCACTGGTGAATCTCCAAATAATACTAAATTAAAATAAAAATTACAAGTATGTATTTATTGAGTGTTTTCGATGGTTTCAGAAGCACACTAACCAGTTTCATTATATTAGAATTAAGCATTGCTTTCCTCATCAATAATGATTATATTAAAAAACAACTTCTAAATACCTATAACAGTTCGAAGTGTTGTCATTTTGCCACGATATATATCGAAGAAGAAAACAAAAGTATATCACCTTTCACAGATACATCTTCAACAATATTTGATGGATTAAGCAATAGTTATATAGTTATCATCAAACTTGGTTAAAACAAGAAGCTACACGGAGCCTATATTCTGGCTGGATTTGCGGTTCAGCGGGAATGAATTGAAGGCCTTGCGGTTTTTAGCAAAATCACCGTTGAGTGCTTTTCATTATTTACTTATCATGGAGAGTTATAGCGATAAAGACCGGCTTTGGAACAAGTTGATGCCATGACAAATTGGAAACACTAAAACCGTTAGACGAAATGCGGGGACTAACGTAACTGCCGCGGCAAAGTCAACAGAAAAGGAATAAGTCACTTTGTGACTTAGCTTTAGTCACAGAGAAATCCAGAATGGTGGTAAATATCCAACTACGCAGACCTCGGCTTTTTTTCAAAACCAGTCACCTCACCTCACCTTACTACACTCGATGCCAAAACTCAACCTCGTTCCCAGGCTATGTTCACCACATTGCTTTACGCCAATTAAAAACTGCTGCGTAGCGCTTATTGTGCATCTTCCTAGGGAGGAAAACCAAACCGAATTTTCTGATTCTGGCCCGTTTACGGCCAAAATAATAAATATCGAATAATACATGGACGCGCGTAGATATGGAAATTCTCTTCGAGTGTTTAACTCGATAGCTCACGAGTGAGCGCAGCGAACGAGTGAGATGTCGAGTCGAACAAGTGAGGAGAAATTCCATATCTTCAAGCAACCAAGTATTACTTTGTTTATCAGATAAACACAATAGCCCTTTACTGTGAAGAAAAGCCGACTTCAGTAATGAATGAAAAGAAATTAATCGACAATCGTAAAATGCGTTGGCGCTAACTCTTAAAATGGAAAAATGCGTTCAATCATGATTACAAAAACAACAATGGTCGTAATTTTCAATTTACAAACTTCTCATACATTAATTTTGTCTTTATCGACAGAAGAAGTCTTTCAGGTAAACGGCCAAATTCGGCCTGTGGCAAATCTTCCAGTTGTCGATATTCATTCACAGCCGAGAGAAGTGTCAACACCAACGTCACTGAATTCGTAACTTTCGGTTTTTCTTTATGTAGATTGGTTTTCTTCCCTTACTAGCAAAGTTTGAACCTCACTTTCTGTCAGCGATACAGATTTTTAAGTGTTCTAGCCGCCATAATTCGAGAAAGTTCCGACAAACCATTTGTAATGAGAATCGTGATGCCTTTGCTGTTCATTCATCAACCTGACCAAGGCGAGTGACGTATCAGCAGCTGATTGGCTATATCAAAACAAGTGAAAAATTACGATATTTTTCACGTGTGTTGTTACGGCTTTTCTCAGAGCCGGAAATTCCTGTATATGATAATATAACTGACATATATATATATATATATATATATATATATATATAAAAACAAGAAAAGCATTTTGAACTTTTATTACACCCATTTTGAAATCATTGGTGGTCCCTGTAATCTAATTGGCTCTAATTGGTGCGATTTATTCATGAATTGCACCATTTTTTGCTTTAAATTGCATCTTTTTACCAGCCACTAAAAACAAAACAATCAATCAAAGTAACCAATCAAATTGCAGGAGAATGAAAAACAAAGAGTATCATGTGGCAAATTTTGCATCTATTGTTTCCAAACTCTTATTTTTCCCCCCCAAAAAATGGATGAATTTAATTTCAAACCAGCTTAGTACTGCGTCAATAAAATATTTGAACTGACTAAGTTGTGTATTTGGGCAATTTCAAAATGGATGTAAAAAAGTGGTAATTGAACCTCGTGTCGTGCAATTTTGGTCTGAAATCATACTAGTGATTTCAACTCGAACTCGCGATGCGCGCTCGTTCAATTTTGAAATCATACATATGATTTCAGCCCAAATTGCACTCCACTCAGTTCAATTACCATTATTAATTACACTGATCCAAAATTAACTGAGTCTGAAATAAATGAGTTGAAAGCTTTTTACACTTTTTATCATTTGGGTTTTACTAGAAAGCGTGCAAACATTTCAAAAAATTTAATTTAATTTCCAATGTAATGTCTACTGGACTCATTGTGGTTGGAACCATTGCTGGTGGTGTCACACAAAATCCAATTCTTCTTGGAGTTATTTCTGGAAGTGGTCTTTTTTTCAAAGACTTACATTGAAATAAAAAAATTTTCAGGAAGAAGATCGAACTATGCCGCTTTGCTTCCACAGGTAATGAAAAAGTTCTCATGGATTTAAGGTGTTTCATGAGAGGTAAATCATACGACGATCAAGATTCTTTATCTCAGTTAAAAGTACTTGATGATATTATCATTGATATATACCCTCTTGTTAAGAAGTTTGATGATAGTTGCTCTCAAAAATTTACCTCTGAATAATTTTTCTGATATCTCTTCCAATTACGTTCATTATTTTAGACCACCATTGGTCATGAAAAGCGAGTTTTTTATTTTATTGTTATAATACTTTCAAACTCGATATTCATCATTTCGAATATCTTTTTCATGATTAAATTAATGATGATCTTTCCCTTTAGATCTTTATTTATTTTTTTAGTAATAATTTTACCAATAAATTCAAATATTTCCAATACTTTCTGTCTATTTTTTATAGTCAATTGACACTTTTTGGTAACGGTAAATATAACTTTCATAATATGATATTTTCTGACGTAAACAGACTTCCTCACAAATTTCTACATATTCTCATGAAAATCAATAAATTCTGTTTCTGGTTCACATTGACCACATTTCACCTTTTTCGCCTTTTTTTATTTTCATATTTGGACAACATTTTTCAATTTCAGCGACTCTTTTTTTAATCTGTTTATCACAGAATGGGCACATTAATTCATCCAATTCATTCTTCATTATTACATGTGATATTTTTAAAAATAATATTACCATCCCGTATTTCAGGGAAAACTCTCGTTTCCACAAGAATTCACATGGCGTGACTTCACCACATACTATATCCTTCACCTGGCGATATCATCCATTGTCCACCAGCATATGACAAGTAGATAGTAGATGGAATGTGCGAGTCCATTTCAAGAAAATGGTCTTGTACCGCCATCTACTATACTACCATCGTTTTGAAGTGATTTAAAGTTTTTTAAGAATGATAAATTTAACTGCGTAGTTGTCCGGTTGAAATTTGATAGTGAATGGAATGCGATAAGTATTTTGCCTCTCAGCCTTTTGTAGAGCTGTCTGTCGATCAATTTGCTAGGCGCAGTGGTGGCCCGACAGAACGACAAAAACAGGATAGTCACGATTATCGAAAAACTAGCACATAGCCTCTGATTTTTGTATTGATGATACTAAATTACCCCGATGTAACCGCTTCCTACTTCTTTTTCTATTTTCATTTTTTGTTTTCAAATTGCTTCTATCCCTTATAGATACTCTCAACTGACAAAATACTACGGAAGTAAAACAATCCATTACCATATGACCGTTGTC